TGAATTTAATCATGTATTATAATATGACAAACGTTACATAATAGTGTATTTACTTGCACTTTAGTGTATACATACTTTACGCCCGAGAGCACAATATAATTAATCAATAAATATGTAAACAATAAAAAGTTGTGTCATTGTCCGCAAATTGCGCATTATGAATTGAGGTTATTATAACAGTCACGTGTATAAGTGGGAAGAGAATGCAGGTTTCTGAGTACAGCAAGCAAACTCAGAACTGATGGGCAAAGTGATGTTAATAAAAAAAATATATGCCGAATGTGTAGTAAGACTACACGTTAATCTCTCTATTATTGTATGTATGCATGAATACTAAACAAAAAGAGTAAGAAAAGTGAAAAAATTCATAAAAGCCTAATACACGTTTGTATAAATCAAATATCATGAGTATGATAATTAACGAAAAAGTCTTGTAAACATAATATCGTGTTGCAATAGCTACATCGGGTGGTTCCCTCGTAAGTTTCACTATAAACTACACATATTTAATTGCAAACTTATGCACTGATTTTCTGCAGCTAAAAGTCGGGTGTTTGTCGCATATTCTTGAAAGCTTCTGAACAGCATCCTGATCGACAACTCCATTCTCCTTCCGCATTTCCATACGGTTGATCAAATTTAATCGATGCATTTGAATTACCTTGCTGGCTGGATAGTAATGCTGTGAAGCGACGATCAGGATCTATGGTTAATATTTCATTTGCTAAACCAAACTATAACGTTACATTATCATTTGACTTAAGAGTGTTATGAAGATAAGACTTTCTTTGACAGATAACGAATAATAACTGTTTCCGGTCTGCATCATTGATAGAAGACAAGTTTGACAATGTTGAATGAATGATATGAATAAATTAATAAGTCGATAGAGAAATATCATACTTGATTCAACCGTTAAGCACTTGGACGATGTTCTCGTGGACTGAACTACGATCGGCGCCAAAATACAGTGCAAATTGCCATTTGTTTAATAACTCAATAACAGCGCAAGATAGAACGTTGTGGTTTTCAGCAATCGAAAACAGGCACCTGATGCTAGTTTTCGACAAGCAAAATGATTTAAAAAAACTTTTAAACCGGTTTGGAAAACCAGTTTCGATCTCTGTAATTTACTCAGTGAATCAATAAATGATAAAACATAGACAAGTTGGACTTAACCTATAATTAAACATCATTGAATATACTTGGGAAATGCAATAGCTTTAAACAGCCAAAGATTATAATCACTAAAGCTGAAGTATTTGTGCTTATCAAATAATAGACAAATACTTTCTGGTATCACCCATTCGGGAATGGGTGTACGATGAATATCAGAAAAACAGGGTTATAATAAAATCGAACTAAAAACGTGAGTTTACTAAACAAAAAGAGTAAGAAAAGTGAAAAAATTCATAAAAGCCTAATACACGTTTGTATAAATCAAATATCATGAGTATGATAATTAACGAAAAAGTCTTGTAAACATAATATCTTGTTGCAATAGCTACATCGGGTGGTTCCCTCGTAAGTTTCACTATAAACTACACATATTTAATTGCAAACTTATGCACTGATTTTCTGCAGCTAAAAGCCGGGTGTTTGTCGCATATTCTTGAAAGCTTCTGAACAGCTTCCTGATCGAAACTTGGCAGGATTAATTAGTTAGTTAGTGTTGAATGTCGAGGGTCATTTCGATTTAATCTCGCTTTTCTAGGGTCAAAAGTTGGAAATAGTGCATACACCGAAAAACTAGTATTTCCGGTTAAGTAATACCCTAGTTGTGCGTCTACGTCGAGATTTTTTCATCAAAAGTTCTTTGATTAATGAAGCGTTGAATGAGATATCATTCGACCAAAAAAATGTTTAGGAAAAATTTCTAGTGAATTAACAACGTATGCTATCCCTAAGGCAAAAAATGATTCATGTCCGAAATAATGCATTTTTCTACCCCTATATATTTTATTTCATCAGAAAAACAATATATCCGTGTTCAGCGGATGAAACTGAGTAATTTTACAAGTTTACCGAGCCTTTCCATTCTCATTCTAGGACCCACAAACCATCATCATTCTTCAGAACCGTGTGAAAACGGTTTTGACCTTAGGCATGAAATAGAAAGTGTGTAAACCACTCTACTTTATATATCAGTCGATATGGAATTTCACGGGCTACAAAATGATATATAAGACAGACATAAGAAAATGTAACTGAATAGTCTAAGATCCGAAATACTCGGTAGTATCTCAGCAAACCAGCGGGTCAACCTCATTCATATGTGTGCCATCCATTTAATTTAGCCTCATTTTGAGTTGTGTCTTTTACCTTACATCGAGAAGAGAATAGGTTGAACATATTACCTTCTTTAACACTAGACAGCTTTTCCATTCTGTTATAGAAGTAAACATGTTTATTGACATAATCAAGAAAAAGAAGGAAATATCAGAAAAATCATTTAGAATGTCTTTTTGGAGGTTCTTACAAATTGTCACTAGAAATGTCTTTGTTCTTCAATGGTTTGTTTGTTGCGGAAGCAGCTGTACTTGTTTGTTGTTGCTCCTTGGTTTTTGAAATTTGTGAACGTGTTAGGCTTGAAGTAAGTTCACTAATTACAATAGAATCTTGTTCTAATTCTTCTGTTTTTTTTCTTTTTTCTTCATCTTTTTTTTTTTTTTTCATCCTGATGGTAAACAATATCATGGTGAATTTCAGAAAGATTGTAGACATGGCTGGGGAACATTTATGTTTCCGTCTGGTAGTTGTTTTGAAGGTGAATGGTTTGAAGGAGAGAGAAAAGGTAAAGGAACCTATCTGTGGTCAGATGGAACGGAGTATGCGGGAGAATGCGGAGATGAAATCAGTAGTGATCAACATCATAACGGAGTGTGGAGGGAGACTAGCACCGGATAATCTTTGTTTTTCTTGTATATAGTAATTACACTTAAACTGTTCTGCGAGCTGCTAGAAATACAAAATCGATAAAACGATTCTTTCATCTTAAGATTAATCTCATCTGTTTACTGTCTCCTTTTCGACATCAATTGCATTGATTAAGATTGGTAATTTAGAGGATCGATTATATTTTATTGTTTGCTTGCATTACAGAGAATAATTAGCATAGATAATATATTCATCATAAAGAAATATCTAACTGCTTTGAAAAGATATATCATCATTCGTGATACTTGGAATCATTTTGTTAATATTATTATTGTTCAATTGTGTAAAGATAGAATAACTATAACGTAAGTGTAAATAGACTCATATCGGATTACAGCTTGTTTCCGATCGACTATTTTACATGGCTTTAACGCACGTATTTCTCATCTCAAATAAAGTACAAACGCTGTTTCTATACAGTTGTTCTAACTTTCGGAAGGAAACTTTTAAATTCGTACAGTATATGTTTTCTCACTACATTATACTCGACATATATCAAGAAAAAGAGTAAACGTAAGTAAAGTAAGTAAGTAAGTTAGACCCGTACCGTTTCCAGTGTAGGGTGAAAAACAAAATCCAATGCACAAATTAAAAAGAAAACTATAGTGTCTTTGGTAAATGTTTATAAGTCGCTGTTGTAAGATAAG